GCTATGCTGCTTGATGTGCGGTGCTATGCTCAGCCTCAGGCTTCTCGCACTAGCCCCAACATCATGAAGTGACATATTCCTTGGTGAAATCTTCCGCAATATCGTTCCATAGCCATCAAACTGACCTAAATCTGCAACACCGGGTAACTCAAAGTCCGAGGGCAGGACTGCAGGTAAGACAGACGAGAAGGCCTCTCGACCTCCGACCCGGCGATCCACCTCCGATATCCAGGGTTTCTTGAGTGGTCGACTCGGCCCCAGCACCGAAACCCCAGCTTGAATGGTCGCCCGCCGAGGTGATCGGCCGAGGCCATGGTCCATTTTTAGAACCCCTACGTGGAAGCCAAGGAATGCCAAATACACCAAGAATTTGACGGGAAAAGAGACTGGCGGCAACTGATACTCTGGGGGCATCATCGCCAGACGCCGAATGAAGACCGATTCTGATGGCCCAACGATGCGCAGTGAAGTGCATGCATTGCTGATTCCCTCCGCTCTGGTCATCCTGAAATCCTCGCAGGCGTCGTAGTGATAGTGACAGAGCGTGCATAAGCCATCACAGACAACCCTGAGCGAGCAACCAACAGAGACTTCGCGATAGAAAACCACAATCACCAGCCAACGGCCGGCCCATCACACCGCATGCTCGTCGAGTCAACAAGATGCGCAACCCCTCCCCATCACACAATTAAGCTTGTCGATATTGCAGCCACTGCCGTGACCGGCTGCATATGAGTGCCCATCGTCAACCGTGCAGGCGTGCTATGCAGGTGGTGAGAATAAGGAAGCCGGGGTTGATTCAGGTGCCCCCTGGCCCCCTGAAATTCGTGCCGCCCGAATCCCAGGCCCCGCCCGCTGATTGGCCACTGCACCCCGGCTCCGATGTGAAAGCGCCGTGTGCCGGCGCTTCGAGGCCGTTCAACACCAATGGGAGCATCGCGAGCCTATTTCGACCGTCTTGGGCCCAGACATCCCATTGGCAACAGCAGGGTGTCTCAACACGGTTCCTGCTTCCATACGTGCCCCACGTCACGCTCAACTGCCGTCGTAAAGCACATGCACTTCCACGGGGGGCCATTCTCGTTCATCACATTCATTGCTTTGAGGGGAATACGCTGGTAGGCTGGTTGCAGGAGAGGGGGACACCATTGGCGCTGGGCTCCATCAAAGGGTTTTCTCGGCGGTTGAACATGTAAATACTGACTTGGGCCACATTCGTGGCGCCGGGTATCTCTTCGATTTTGTTCAGCTTTTCTCTCTACTCATACGATTCTGACGCCGTTTTTTCCTTTTCCAGCCTGACTGTGCCTCTTCTTCCCGCCAACATTTCGAGTCTGTACACTGGTCCCTCTCTGAGAGCGGTACGCAGTTGAACACCATGGCGGCCACGACCTCCAATTACTTTCCTTTGGCGACCGAGACCTATTATCCGGATGCCGCCGGCGATGCGAGCGGCTCGAGCGGCGTTGATAACGATGCCGGTGCTGCTGGAGATAGCCCCGGCGCTGTCGGGCTTTCATCCCAAGCCATGATTGCCATCATCGTGGTTGTTTCCATCGTTGGTGCTCTTGGAAGTATGCAGACCCTTTTAAAAAATACCAACGCCTTTATAAAACCATTTTACTAACCAGCTTTTACTCGTACAGTCGGAATGGCTGTATTGTTTTACATCGCCAAGAAGCGCGAGTGGAGGATTAGGGAGACCATGCGCAAGTCGGCCAGGAAAGTGGTCACCGCTCTCACGCCGCGGAGGACCGAGTTTCCCAAGTCAGTCAAGGAGTCGAACTCTCCACCACGCAGCCACCGCGGCCGCGCTAGACTTGACGATGTGCCCCCAACGCCGAGGCTCCGTCCAGAGGACCTCGAGAAGGGACTGGCGCAGGCCGAGAAGAAGCGGAAGCTGATGAGATGGGGTCGGAAGTAAACCCTATGCTGAAGGATAGGAATGATATGTCGGGTCGAAGACCGCCAACTGGCTTGGTGCCGGTGTAATGGGTCGTTTGATGCGGGGTTTAGAAACTGGACGATTGACGAAACCTGGCAGCCGGGATCTGCTCGAGGGATAGAAAAGCCCTTTCTTGTACCATTACTTAAACCCTGGGATACTCATAGCGGTTTCTTATAGCCTTCTGAATGTGTTCGTGCTTGCGCTTCTTCTCGCGTCAAACTTCTTCTTCTCCTTGGCTGTGCTCTCCTCTTGTTGCTGGGGTGGGCCACGACCCTTCTTCTTCTTGTCCGGGACGAACGTGACTTGCTTCTCGCCGAAAGCCTCTCCACGGTTCATCTTGCCGATGCGTCCTGACTTCTGGACACGAGAACCCAACGCGGAATCCCTTTCTCTTCCTCCATGCTTCTGGTTAGAGGAAGACACCTTCATCGTCATCTCTGCCTGGGCCTGGGACTGAGCCTTCTTACCCAGTCCTACCTTTGGCGCCTCGGCAGGTCTGGCAGCAGAGCTGACACCCACCTCGTGAGTATCCGGAGCGGCGACAGTGGTGCTTGGGTTGAGAGCGCGGAACTCGTAACTGGTCTCGTCGACGGCGAACGCTTCGTCCTCGAAGAGTTTGGCAAAACGCTCGTCGCCCAGTACACCGGCCTTGGTGTCCACAACCTCTCTGTTCTCCTGCCTCTTGAGCAGCTTGTCGGCAAGCTTCTGGTTGACCTTGACCTTCTTGTTGCCTCTGATTCTGCTGGCGCGCTCCTTCTCGACCTTCTCTTGGATGCGCTTCGTCCTCTCCTCCTCCCAAACATAGGGGTTGGCGATAAGCCGCGCCTGCTCGTAGAGCTTGGAGGCCACAAAGTATCCGTGCATGTATGGCCTGAGAAGATTGGTCTTGCCGATGAGGTGTTCCATGCTCAGTTGCTTGAGTTCGGGCAGCGTCAAGAACTTGTAGTTGTCGTAAGTCTCGGTGCGGACCTCCTCGGCCATCTCCTCGACCATGTTGTCCAAGAAGGAGCACCATCTCGGGGCCGGACCCAGGCTGGGAACGAAGAAAGAGTGCTGTTGCTTGCCTTCGTTCGCAGTCAGAAGCATACCAGTGTCCTTGCACCAGGCACTATAGTATGGTTAGCGAAGTCATTCCACCGTGCGGCCTCTTAGACTTACATGTCGTTGATGTCCACAATAGGCTCAACCGATGTCCAGGGCGTGCCGTCCGTCTCATCCCAAATCTTGATGATTCTCTTGTCAGCGGACAGCACCTTCTTCTCCTGAGACGCAGTTGTCATGTGAATCAACTTCTTGATCGGGAAGCCGTATCCTTGGTCCTTGGTGAGAAGAGGTACAGGGCGACGCAGATCAAACAGCTGAACCATGCCGTTGGCAGATCCGGTGGCAATAGAAAGGCCTGAGGCGTTAAAGTCAAGTGCAGTAATCGCTCCCTCTTGGCAACCAAGACGTGCAACCCTGGACTTCGACCTGGCGTCCCAGAATTCGACAGTGCCAAGCGATGTTCCAAATGCAGCCAGGCCGTGTGACTTCTCGGCCAAAGCAGCGACGTTTACACTGCCGGCCTCGATCCCACCTTGCAAACCGGCTCCTTCTTCGTCTCCACCAACATCAATCTGGAACGACTTCATGAATCTTCCAATCTCGAGATTCAACCGGAACACCTCTCCCAATCCGTCTGAATCAACTCCGACGGCCGGTACAAGGGCCTCCGCCGAATGCCTGTCGTACAGCAAATCTCTTCCATATCGAGGTATCCTGATCGTGTAGTGGCAGCCCATCGGGGTGTGGAACTCGAGTCGTCGGTCATCTTGGAGAAGCAGAGTCTTTGAGTAGTCGGAGGAGAGAATGGCCAACTTCTCTGTGAGAGAGTTGGTATGACGCGCGAATGAGAGAGACAGTTGCGGCAGGTTGTGGACGTGGATCTGAGGCTTGTAGGTTCCGGCACTGACGGCCCAGTCACCATCCTCGCTGACCTGGATGCATGTGCTCGCCTCCTCGAATTCGAAATCCTGCAGAAGCTCGACTCGATTTGCGTATTCGGGGTCGTTCTTGAGTGATCTCTTTCTGCGCCTGGCCAACCAGTCGGGCAAAGGCCTTGCTGTTGAAGCACCAGAGATGGTGTAAACCGGAACGGTGCCGGGGTTTGTCAATTGCATCTTGACTGTGGGAGGCCGGAGGCGGAAAACACTGATCGGTCGGTCGGTTTCTGCGCGACGATGCGACGAAGGACGAAGGAAATCTGCGACCGAGGGGAGCCAGAAAAAAAAAAGTTCTGATAAGATAAGAACGCGGTGGCCGGTGCGTCGGTGGAAGCCACACCTGGCCCACCAGGCGGACTTCTCGGTGAGGCGGTGGAAAAGTAAGTCCTGTTTCCGACCGGCCCCCCGCCGAATCAGGCGACGCTGCATTAGCGTGTATCCCGACCGCTGGACAGGGACTTTTAGCGGGTGGGCAGCAGTGATTGGCCGAAACCGCGTCCGTCTTCCGATCCAACAGGACCCTGTTAGTGCACTATTACAGGCGTTCAGCTGAACGAACTGCTCCCTGAGGTTCCAGTCTGCTGCTTGTCAGTGACCGTGCTGAATTTCCGCCGCTATCCCGACCCGGCCAGACCTGGTTGCTGAACACGCAGTAATCGTTGCGAAAGATCCGACAACCTCCCCCCAACGACGACCTCGACGATCGAGCATCGACGCTTCTCGGTGCTCCATCATCTCGATAACAACCGCCTGGAAACTTCTATCGCATACTTCCCGTCGGTACTGGACCAGTCTTGGACTCGGTTGATGCCGAGCAGCCGGTACTTTGGTCGCGCTTTCGACCCACGGAGATGGAGTCGATGACTTCGCGAAATCCAGCAGACAACCCTTCCGAAAGCCCCTTGAATCGCTTATTTCGCCCCAATCGATGCCAGAAAGACGTTGATATTTTATGACTGCATTTTCTTGGATTTCAACCGGCTCCTGCAGCCTCCGGGAGCTTTAGCGACTGAGGGAGTTGATGTTGCGACACGGATCGAATCCCGCATTTGCGAGACTTGACCGTCGACATGGACACAAGCGAATACGATACTAATACCTTATTAAATGTGCGTCGCGTGACTTCAAATGTAATCTAAAGTGGCTGACCTTTCTCCTCCAGAATAACATCTCCTCGATCGTTTTCCGAGTTTACGAACCTTCTCAGGAGCACGCGCAAACCTTCCCCTCGGCTGCTGCCGATGTCGAGACTAAACTACGGAACCGCGGCCACATCGTTTACTATGATGCGACCAGGCGCGTGCTATGGTATTTCCATGTGCCAGGGAAAGGAGCGGCGGCCACCGACGACAATAATGGGGCTTTGGGCAACACCATCGAAGTCGAAGGTGCGACACTGTTGATGGTCGAGGATGGTTCATTCGAGCCGGTTAGTCTGTTCAAGGGACGCGCACCGGGTCAACAAGCTGCAAATACCCCCACAAGCTCTTCATCAAGTAACTCGGCCCTCGACCTGTCCCTTCGGAATTCGCAGAACACAGGCTCTGGGCCGCCAAGCTCTTCCGATCCCGATTCAAAGCCCGCCTCAGCCGGAGGACCCGATGCGAAAGGTACAGGCTCTGTGCCTCTGAAGGATGCATACGAGCATTTTGTTACGGCTCTCTTGTCGACCGTTTCCGCAGCTTTCTGTAGCCGCATTTGCGCGATACCCGTCAACTACCGAACGGTCCTTTTTCCCGCGAAAGTCTCCCGCGAAAACCAGTCCGACCGAGCTCTCGATTCTGATTCAGCAGTCGTTGGAACCTTCCGCATTTATCTGACAACTACGGGTGCGTTGGTTATGAGCTTGTCATTGTCGTGTTGTGAAGGTCTACTGTCGGTGAACGAGCCATCAAGTCCGGGGCAGATCGTGTTAGGCTCTCAGATCTTGGCGGCCCCATTTGGCGTTCTAGCGAATTATCAAGGATTCATGGGCGGCGGCTTGTCATATCCAGAGCTTGGTCTTGGACAAACTCCAGATACTCAACTCTGGAGGAGCGCGGATGCTAAGTCATCGCAATGGAGAGACACGTGCATCAAGATCCTTCAGTCCCGTGGGCTATCCCCAACGTTGCTTCAGTCTTGTCCCTGGATAGCACTTCAGATGATCCGCCGAAAACCAGGAGACGGCAAGTCAACACCACTCCCGTCGACAATGGCTACGATATCATGGCCGGCTGCCCTCTGCTTCCGCAAAAAGTCAGTGATCCTGGCGCGAAATCATGGTCTAGGAGATACCGCATTGCTGGCCCACGAGGAGACTGCAGACTTTCTAAGCGAAGCTAGAACCTGGTTTCAGCTCGGAACTGACAGAGAAGAAAAAGTCACCAAGCGGAAAAAGGAGAGGGAGATTGCGGCAACAAAAGAGACTCCCGCGGCCGTCCCACCACAGCAACCCAATGGACATTCGCCTTTAGGTTTAAGGCGCGCGAGCAATGCAGCGGCCGTAGGTGCGATGTATCCGACCCCTCCTGACGGAGTTCAGAATCCTCTAGGAATCACGCCCTCCATAGACGGCACCACCTCCAGCCCAGGGGCTCCGAACGCGACCGTAGCCATCGTCGATATCGATACGGCCATGGCAGATGTCACCATGCCTGAAACTGCGGTGCCGCATGCCAGCCAACATCATGAGTCGTACGGTGATGGCGGGTGGAACCCGAATGACAACAAGCCAAGAGCAGATTCATTTCTAGGAGGCGAGAGCGACAACCTCTTTGGAGACATGGGCCCGGATATGTTCGGTGATGCCGACATAACGGATGCTGATTTCAGCTTCTTTGATGAGCAACCCGGCGATGATCTAGATCTCTCGGGTCTCCCTGATATGGGCATGTCAGATGCACCTTCGATGGCTCCAGTGCTTCCGCCTCCGCTGCCTGAGCCTGCGAAAATGGCTGCTCCCCCGATTGAGTATGCAAAGCCCGAACCGAGTCCACCGATTTTCACCAAGCCCGAACTCAAGCATGCCAGGAGCACCCTCATGGACGAGGGAAAGCAAAGACCCAGCACAGAGAAGGCTGCTGGTGTCAAGAGAGAGTCAAGCCCTTTTGGCCCCGACACCGTTTACAAAAGGGTCCGGGCATCCTTGGGAGACATCGACTCTGCTCCAAGCAAAACACCTTCAAGGAAAGGCAGCGTGTTTGACAGCGTAGGCTTCGACTCGGTGCTTCCCTCTGTCAACAAAAAGTATGAGCAAGGGGGTCGTTTTGACTGCAATCCCGTCACCCGCGGGTTGGCGCAAGAGCCAATCACGGAACCTGGCGCTCAAGGTCCGCCTACAACCGACTACCTCCGGAGACACGGGAAACAGAGGAAGCAGTTGAAGCACTCGGAGCAAACGAGTGTGGTCATCCGTACGATTACCGGCGGTCTGGAAAACGCAACCTTGAACACGAGTCCCGCTAAGATGGATGACTTCGCATCCGATGCAGACGATGTGAGCTTGGTATCTGACCAGGATGACGCAAGCTCAACGACAGATGAGCCAGCGTCTCCGTTCAAATCAAGCATTAGAAGACTGAATTTTGATGACGATGTGGTTTCTCACGTTACCTCGTTGAAGGACATCGAGTCCGTCGAAGACTCTGATCCCACCTTGGCCTTGGAACTCCCTAAACTAGCCAAGGTCGAGGCAACAGAGGTGTCCATAACAAAGTACTTTGAGGATTCCGAGGCACTGCCGATTCATCTTTCACTCACAGATGAGGACATGGTGACAATCGCTCAGATTGTGACTGAGCAAGCGGTCACTGGTAACTTGAAAATCCGCGATTCGCAAGCCAACACTCTGAACACAGCCATTATATCAGAAACCCGTCGCCAGCTGTCATCCCTGAGTCGCACCGCTCTGCAGACTCTGCGAGAAGTTGTCCCTGCTTGCCTTGGCGAGTTCAACACCTGCAACTTCAAAGGTGTCGTGGAGGTACCTGATGTGCCGTTGCTGGGGCAGCCTAACAGACTGCACCCAAGGCCAGTTCCGCAGAGAGATTCGAATGCTGAGCCGCCCAAGCCCAACAACCTGTTCCAAATCCCTGCGCCACACATGGAACTCCGCCGCGCAGAAGCCAGACTGTCGGTGCTTCCGTCAAGTGTTCAGTTTTGGGAGAGCTTGGGTCTCGGCCCTGCCCAAGGGACGAAGAATGTCAACGTTGTCTGCGTGTTTCCGAACTGGGATGGCATGACAGATGTCGCCGCAGCGTTCTTGGATCGAATGCGCAATGTCTATGAGCTGCTGAAACTAGGCTCGTTCGAGCGCCTGCCCACGAGTTCAAAGGTGACCGACGGGCTGATGCCATTCGAAGCGGACAAGATTGCTACTTCTCCGGGCACGGTCAGCCCTCATATTGGGTCAAGTCTGGATGATCGCATGGAGGCCTTGAACCAGGGGCTCTTGTCAGCAAACGTGACGGAGAAGAATTTTGTTGTGTACTTCGTGTACCCTCCAGATCACCCTGGGTCGATCGTGGAGGAATGCACGGCGTTCCAACGGCTCTTCGAGATACACAAGAGGTCTTTGACTGACAGAAGACAAGCCCCAGTCAATGAACTTGTTTTGCAGCTGGTCCCTCTAGACTTTCTGACTTCTCCTGTGGGCATCGTTGAACCAACACCAAGCGACGCCATCAAGCTAGCGATAGAGACGTATGATCGATGCACATTGTTTGGCGGGCCGATGCCCTCGCCGGCTATCATGCTGGAGCAGTCACTACCACGGGGCATCGATTTCAAGATCTCCAATACTTCCTCGTCCTCGCTCATGCACGAAAACACCTGCATGCACATCGCTTACGCACAAAGCATTGACGAGAGGTGGATTACAGCAGCATGGACCGACAACAGGGGATGCCAGCAAATGACGGCGTCTTACAGTCTCGGGCGCAAAGGCAAGCCACTTTCAACGTCTCTTAACGATGTCTACCACGAGATATGGGATACAACACACGATTTGATCTCCAAGTGGAAGGTACACTGGCGGGTCATTGTCACGAAGTGCGGGCCCATGGACCAGCAGGAAATCGGTTTCTGGCAAGGTCTCGCGCAAACCGAGTCGATGGCCTCGGTGAGCCTGACGTTGATCTCAGTCGACACAAATCCGTCTCTACAGTTGCTTCCTCCGGCAATAAAAGTACCAGCGACAGCCTCGTCAGCATTCTACACCACCCCGGTGTCAACACCGCAGGCATCAATACTCTCTCCTGAGCAAAGCGGGACCCCCGCTACACCTATGAAGGAAAACAACCCCGTAAACGCCGCCACACCGGGAGGCACCCCTGGTGATGGCAACGCGGAACCAGCCGAAGGCGACGCCATTCTTCTTGATGTTACGGATCAAACGTGGGGTGCCGTGCTTGCCCATCGACTCAGCAACTCATCAACTCTCGGAGAGCTCAATCCTGCTATAATCAGTGGGTATCTAGTCAAACGCGGCGGAACAAAACTAGAAGATCCACCAGTGGTTTTGGAAGTCAACATTTTGCACGTGGATAGCAACCCGCGGATGTGCGAGACTCTGATGCGAGAGATGCTCACTTATTTCAGGGGCCTCGGTACACTAGCTCGGGCCAGGGGCATTGTAGATAGGGGGACGGATATACGGCCTTGGCATATCGCGGCAGCGGAGAAGGGCGTCCGGGCATTATACCTCTTGATGTGATTGGGAACGGAGGTTTCGAGGTAGACTTCCTTTGGGTCCAAGAATGGCGTTAGACATGGCGTTGGACCTTTATTTGTACACGTAAAGAACAGAGTCAAAAGGCTCGGAATTCATCATCATCATCGCTACCATGTATTCATGTGCACTGCTCTTTAAATAGTTCTATTCCTGATCTATCTTTCACCCCGGCCAGTTGATGCCCCGGGAGAAGTCTATGCTCATAAAGCGTCCATATGATATAAGTCCACGCTCATTTTGGCCAACCCATATTAACACCATGTACTGAAATTCCATCATCAAACTACAAACAAACCCAGCCAGCAAGGGCAACTTTAGTTCCAGAAGCCGGGGAAGAGGAACTCGACATTCCTCATGGCCTCGGGGTTGCGGCCCTCGGGCTTGGTCATGAACTTGACGGCGCCCTGGGACGCGCCCTCCCAGTGCTTGGCCAGGACCATCTCGCTGTGCTCCTGCTTGGCCAGCTCGTCGAGGACGCCGCCGACGAGGCGCTTCGCGTTCTCGCCGTTGGCGGCCATGTACTTCATGACCATGGCGACGTCGACGTCCTCGAACGAGTGCCAGCAATCGTAGTCGGTGGCCATGCAGATCATCTGGTACGCCATCTCGGCCTCGCGGGCGAGCTTGGCCTCGGGGAGGGCGGACATGTTGATGACGCTGCCACCCCAGGAGCGATACATGTGAGACTCGGCGCGGGTCGAGAACTGGGGGCCCTCTGTGTGATGTGTCTGTCAGCAAGACCCAAACTTCGGCGCTTCGTACATATGGGGGGGAAAGGAGGCACTGCTTACCCATGCAGATGATGGTTCCCTTGTCGTGGAGCACGACGCCGTCGCCCTGCATGTGCGCCGCGCACTTCTTCACGACCTCAGCCAGGCCCTTGTCGAAGGGGTCCGCGAAGCCGACGTGGCCCACGACGCCGCCCTCGAAGAAGGTGAAGGGGCGGATGCCCTTGGTGCGGTCGATGACCTGGTCCGGGACGACGAAGTCCATGGGCTTGATCTCCTCCTGCAGGGAGCCGACGGCGGAGAAGGCGATGACGCAGCGGACGCCGATGGAGCGCAGGGCGGCGATGTTGGCGCGGGCGGGCACCTCGTGCGGCGCGAACTGGTGGTGCAGGCCGTGGCGGGCGAGGAAGGCGATGGGCACGCCGGCGTGCTCGAGGATCATGATCGGGGAGGCCGGCTGGCCCCAGGGCGTCGTCGGGTTCAGGGCGGCGACGGGCGTGTAGCCCTCGAGCTTGCCGAGGCCGGTGCCGCCGATGACGGCGATGTGGACGGGGCCTGGTGTGAGGCGATGTTAGCATTGTATGTTCAGTCGCGCGCGCGCGCATTCGCGGGTCGGGGCTCGAGGGAGGGGAGAGAAGCATGTCGAGGAGCTTGCTTACGGTCGAAGGTAGTAGGAAGGTCGGCCATTGTGTCTGTGGTGTTGGTTTTCGCGAGGAAAGGGGTATCACGGTTCTAAGATGACAGATTCAAAGAGAAAACAGACGACAGCTTCAGCTCAATCGGATATAGGATTGTGACGACCTGGGTGGGTGATAAGAATACTGAACCTTTTTTTCAAGGACCCCGCCGAATTTTACCCCGCCATCCCACGCACTTCTTCAGTGCCCCGCCATTGCGACCTCCCGGGCGTCCCGCATTTTCATGGTCAGCAAAATGCCCCCGCCTGGATGGCCAATCCTCTTAGCACGTGTTGAAGATCATGCCCGGGGCGCATTCATTTCTAGAAACGAGATGTCTTAATGAAGAGGTCTGGGGTGTTAGCACTAAATTGAGCTTCTGGACAGGGGTTTGGGGGGTTCTCATAAGCTCTTTTCATCTGAGGTATCTAGCTCTCTAGACTTTTTGCTGGTCTTCATCCGAACTCCAACCCTAGTACATACAGACAAAATTCATTTCTATGCAAAGCAAACCGGGGCGTCATCATTTACTTGCTCTCCTCAGCCGGGCGCACAGGCAGTTCCGTCTCCTTGGCCGCGCCATCCTCCTTCTTGGCTCCGCCGGGGTAGCGAGAGCCCTTGTCCTTGGGCTGCTTCTTCTTCTTCTTCTTGTCATCCTCAACCGGCGGGTAGGCCTTGACTGTAACTTCCTGCCACTCCTGGGAGGCTTGGAAGGAAGCTTGGATGGGTGCCAAGAGCGCGTTGAGAGCCTTTGTGACGGCCGGCTTCAGGAGCTGGGGCGTCAACTGCAGGGTGTTAGCATACGGTCAAAAACCGCTTTGATACATCCTATGCTTACCACATCGTTCTTGTAGTCCTCGTGCATAGCAGCAATGTCGGTGTAAACCAGGGGCTCGAGGCCGTCACGCTCACGCTCGACGGTGAACTCCTTCTTGCCCTTCAGGGCGGCTGCGGGGAGCAGCACGTACTCGACAAAAGACAAAACACCGTTGCCCTCGGCGACCTTGGGCACACACTCGGCCTTGCGGAGCTTCTTCTGGACGACTTCAGGGGCATCGAGAAGGTCGATCTTGCTGTCTAAGGGGCCGTATCAGCATGTGCATACGCCGGCAATCGCTCGTCAAACTTACCAGGGTCGCTTGCGCTCATCTTGCCGCCATTAAGACCCGGAACCATGGGGTTCAGCAAATGCGCGCGGACCTTGTAACCAATCTTGGGCAGCCATTCTGTTGCCGCCGCGAACAGCTTTCTCTGATCCATGCCTACAGAAGTCAGTCGAGGGTGGTGAGAGACAACTTAAGGTTCCAATACCTCCAAATTGCGCATCAACGCCCAGGTGCTGCTCGTCGCAGACCTGGAGGACAGGGTAGAGCAGACCGCTCATGGGGGCGTTCTACCGGCGTGTTAGCCCAATGCCCGGCAGGATGGAACGGTTGCTCTCACGTCTGACTGCTTCACAACCTCCGCACCAGCCTTCTTCGCATCTCTTTCGCTGATGAGCGAGCTCATCTTGTAGATATCCATAATGTACTCGGGGCTCTTCTGGTAGGAGCTGCCCAGAACGAAGTTGAGCTTCTCGGTGGAGACGCCCACGGCCTGGAGAATGTTCGTAATGGCGAACTTGTAGAACTTGGCGCGCTGCTCGACGAGCTCAATCGGGGCCTTGAGGTTGTCAAGGAAGCCGTGGATATCGGCGAGTAGGACCGTCATCTCGCAGCCGGCAGCGAGGAATTGCGCCAGCTTGATGGCCGGGACGAAGTAACCGCAGTGCGGTCTGCCGGTTGTCGCAGTACCTGCAGCGCATTTGGTCAGCCAATGCATGACAGCATAGCTGAAAGAACAGAGTTCAAATATGCTTACCCCAGTAGATCTTGGGGTTGCGTCCCTCGGCCAGAATCTTCTCAATGATCTCGGGGTTCATGACCTCAGCCAGGTTCTCCTGGATGAGAGCGAACCTCTCCTGGGCCGTTGCGCCTTCCGCCATATTGAAGTCGGTATGAAAATCGTAAACGTCGTAAACGGAGGTTGAGGGCAGTTGCAGCGGAATTCGACGAGACGCAAGAAGCGAGATCGTGGCGGGATCGAGAGGTCGAGATCTGACGGTCGAGGACTTACGGATTTATCCTGTCGGGTGAGTCAAGCCGTGACTCGTCGCACAAGTGGCCCAAATTCGCGTTGGACGGCAGGACACTGCAGCAAAATTACCCCGCCGAGGGGAGGTCGTCGGAGCCCACGACGGACACGGCCGATAGAGGGGTCTACAGGGGCAGAAGCCCCACGATTGGCCGATTTCAGGGGGTCCAGCGCTCCAAAATTTCAAAGGGCTCTCAACCCAGAAGAGCAGTCGCATCCGGGCGTACAGGCTCGCATTCTTCGCACAGGACTCACAAGGTTGAATATGTAGCATGGATTAAGATGAAGTTGGTTCCTCATGAAGAAGTTGGGATTACTGGTGCTTTGTTTCAATAACTCAAGTCAAGACTCCAGTTTGACTTGGGCAATTCTCTCCCCGTTGTTAGAACCTACCGCTGGTTCAGCAGAGCCCTCGATCCGGCAGTTGGTCTGTGTGTATCTGCTTACCAATTTTGGGTGCAAAGATACTTGGGCGGAAATTTTCCTCGTTGGTGACCTGCCCCGTCTGTCATCCTCGAGCCGCCACCCCGTTGGACGTATCTTGATTTTACATGAGACCTGTGACTTGATGCAAAAGCTTCCTCCGCCGCCTTCATCTCACTCGCGGCGTAATTACTAAGCGAAGGTTGTTGGAATTCACTCTGGCGGTGCCCTTGCCATGTTCACCAAGTCTCGCACGCTACCCCATCTTTTAGTCTGAAAAGTGGTTGCCAAACTCACTTCCTGACTACCACGGAGCGCACACCATTTCAAGACACAGTCATGACGGTAGACACAGCAGCGTCGCTGCCGGCGGACCTCGAGCTTGACGATGGCACGCCCGGCTCTGAGTCCATCGAGGAGCGCTGCTTCTCAGCCGCCCTCATCTGCCTCGAAGGCCACTACACCATACCGCCCATGGGCCCCCAGACCGCAGCCAGGGTCTCATCCATGATAGCAAAGACACTCGAAAAGACGCACACGTTCAAGCATGTGAGGTAGCTTGCTTCAGTTCTGCGTCCTGGGAACCCTGAGACATATCTGACAAGAACCAGGGAAACGTTGTCACGAAACGTCGAGATTTGGATATGGTTGACAAAGATTTTCGGCGCCGCCATCCCCAGCCTCACCACACGCTCAGTAGGCCCGCTGTCAAGTCTCAACGACCCCGAGAAGGGCGTCACCCCGCAAGAGAGCACAGCTCTCATCGTCAAGAACCACCACAGCCTCAAGGATGACCTCTCGATTCTCAACAAGCTCATGCACATCGCGAGGAATCTGCTGGTGACGTCGGAGCCCGAGGTCCCACAGGACATCTGCGCCGCCGTCCACTTCGACCAGATGGTGTACCAAACCATCATTCTCTGTGTTAACGTCACAAGCAAGGGCTACGATGGCGAGATTCTGGACGAGACATCACGCGCAAAGTTGAATGAGATTACGGACATGTACAAGAAGCTTCTGGTCACCTCTCTCCAGCAAGCACACAATTGGACGGCCAAGAATGACCGGAACAAAATGTCATTTTGGTACGACGTTCTCTTTGACGAGGACGCCCAGCTGGACGACCCCCAGGACGGCCTCGGCGACGGCTCTGGATTCCGCGTCGATGTCGCAAAGACGGAAATCCAGCACTGGCTGGAGCGCAACTCCAGAATGTGCGACACGGCCCGCAAGCTCCTCACAGACTACTCCCAGAACAAGTCTCACAAGCCGCCCGGCGTCCTGGCTCCCATCGCTCCCCTGGCCTGGAACTGGTTTCCAGAAGGCCAGGTCAAGGTTCGCGCAGACAACTACAAGGAGGGCGAGCGTGTGACGCCGACGTGGGACCCCGAAATCCAAGACAAGTTTGAGCAGGACCGTTTGTATTGCCGAGTCTCGAGGGAAATCGACACATGGTGGTTGCGCGCCCGAGACGCAAACTACGAGGGCTGGCAGGTCGCCATGCCTTCCGTCGACTTTGCGAAGCAGCGGACAGAGCACTGCAAGAGCAACCTCATCAACCGCTACACACCCATGCCCGTCATGCGCTCGGGCGAGGAGGCAGAGGTTGTCGAGGTCGAGGAGTCGGAAGACCTCCCAGAAGGCTCGCCAGAGGAATATGCCGAGGACTACCACCACGTGGAAAACCTAGACGATATGATGGACGACGACGACATTGACGACGACGAGTCCTACGGCGAAGGACCCTTGACCGGCCTCCTCACCGAGATTCCCAATATCCTCGACCCCAAGCAGATCGAGGCCCTCCACATGATTGTCAAATCCTGCATCCTCGACTCCGCCGGCACGGGTCTCACCCACGCCGGCGAGAACCTCCAAAAGACACGCTGCCGGATGTTCCTCGCCCTCGACTGCGGCAAGTCTCTCCTCCGCGAGATGCTCGTCTTCATCGCCGTCTGGGAGAAGGACGAACAGTCCCTCATCTTCCAGATCACCTCCCAGCTCATCGAGGCGCTGCACCACTCCGCGCTCGTCCCCTACGCCTGGAACTCCCTCCGCATCCCCAAGGACATCATCTCCCCGGCGCAGACGGTCCTCCTCCGCCTCGTCAACCACATCTTCCGCTCCCGCATCAGCAACCCGCCCCAGGACAAGAAGGACCAGGACCGCGACGTCAAGCTCGTCATGTTCTTCTTCAGTTTCTTCCGCTCCCGTATCGTCCCCGAGTGCGTCGCCCTCATGCACCTCCAGGCCCAGATCCGCGAGGAGAACGTCGACCCGGCCGAGTTCCCCGTCGACACCTGGGACATGGAGCGCGCCAAGGACGGCCTCGCCCAGTACCTCGACTTCCTGACCACCGCCTCCGAGATCGCTGAGTCCCGCAAGAAGCTCATCGAGTGGGAGGCCGTCTACGACCTCATCACCCTCCTCAACGGCCTGGAAGCGGGCGTCCCCAAGAAGCCCCTCGTCGACGCCGTCCCCAGCCGCAACCGCCCTCCCCCCGCAACCACTCCCCCAGACCAACAACAGCAAAACAGCGCCGGCTCCACCCCGATCGTCGAGCGCCCCTACGCCACAAACGAGAGCCTCCCCCCCTCCCCGCCGCCGCCGTCCCTCTCCGACCCGGCGCACAAGTACCCCTGGTCCGGCATCAAGGGCCAGATCTTCACCATCCTCGCGACCCTCCTGCAGCCCCCGCCCGGCCAGTCCTCGCCGGGCAACCCGGAGGTGCAGAACCAGATGGTCAACCACAACGGCATCGTGCCCCTCCTCAACTGCTGCGCCTACGACGACCACAACCCCTTCGCCAAGGAGCGCGTCACCATCTGCCTCAAGTGGCTCCTCGACGGCTGCGAGGCCGCCAACAACTTCTTCCGCGAGCTCGTCAACCTCGCCCCCGCGCCCTCCCTGCGGCCCCCGCCCGGCGGCACCACCACCTCCACCATCCGCGTGGACGGCATCGCGGGCGAGGTCAAGGTGCAGGTGCGCTCCAACTCTGCGCCGGCGGCTGGTGACGGCGGGTCCGAAGGCGGCGACGGCAAGAAGCACGTCCACGACCCCTACGGCTTGGTCGACAGCGCGGCGAGGCTGAACCTCTCAAACAAGAGGCCGGAGACGAACGAGCCTTTCAATGACGACGACTTTATGTAAATAGGTTCTGGTTCTTCAAGGGCATATCACGATGGATGCATTGTTGGCGTTACGTAGGCTGGGGAAAATTGCAATCTTGATTCTGTTTATAAAGGGATGTAGTAGGTGTCCTCTAAACGAGCGAATATCAAGGCCTGACTAAAACAAACATACCCAACCTAGATTTCCTTTTTGTCAAAAAAAGAAATGAATGAAAGGAGTGAGGCGCCATGGTGTGTCCTGTGATCCAGCAAGCCTCCTGTTCCTTGTTTCCTCCTGTGCCCATTGACAAAAGTGAACGCTGGTTGTAAAACATGGAAAGCTAACACGCAAACCCAAACAGACTGGAAACCAAACAATTTTACATGTCAAGTCCCCCAGCCAGCGGGGCCGACTGACACTGATGATAACTCACCCAGACTTCACCTGCGAAAGCCGCAGCGTGCGCCAGACTGATACGGATATGGATTGTACCGGTACTCAGGGGCGATCCTGGCGTTCTGCTGAACCGGTGGCTCACCCGGTCGGAGAACGACAGAGTACGAGGACTGGGGATGAACGGGGTGCGGCGAGTGCATCTCCGCGCCGTGGCCCGTCTGCTGCGCGGTCTGCCTCAAGATGTCGTCAAAGTCGAAGTGCGACGGGCCGTGAGAGCCTCCCGTCTGCTGGTGGCCCGGGCCCATGGAAGAAGCGGCGGGGACCTGTCCCCACGTCCTCTCGGGCTGGTGATGCTCCCACGCAGGCAGCTGCGAGCTGTGGTGGGCCTGTTGGTACATGGAGATCCCGGCAGAGACCTGGGGGCTGTAGTACGACGACTCGTGGTCGAGCTCCGGGCTCATGCTCGCGAGACTGTGTGACGGGCTGTTGGGGCCGCTGCCGTCGTCTGGAGAGCCGAGGCCGATGAGGGTCGGGCTTGCCTCTATCTGGATCCCGCTCTGCTGGGACAGGCGGCGGACGTTGCGTTTCTTGCAGTTGTATTTCCCCAGTTGCCACTTGTCGAACTGCTGGCGGTACGACCTAGTTCTGAGCAATAGGTTAGTTGGTTCCTTTCTCTGGCCCCCAGCTTTTGCCTTCGTTTTTGCACTTCTATGAGGCTATCGGAGGAGTTGTGGCCAACTTGGTTGTGAGAACTATAACTAACAGGAGGGGTGTTAACTTACGATGCCTTGAAGCTATGCTCCCTCTGCATGATATCCTTGACTTCCTCCAGAGTCCGGGACTCCGTGATGTAGAGCCTCGTGATGGTGTCACGGTACTCCTTCCAGGCTTTCGTCATGGTTGCGCCGGCCGAGCAGGAACTCTACGAGTTGACGCTTGGTTCATTGAAAAGAAACCATGGATAGGGGCATAGATACCGAAAGAGAAATCGAGTGACGCTAGCTACGGTGACATTTGATAGATTGTAAGATGTTTAGCTGGGAAACTCTCAGGGGTTGGGAAACAGCTTGTTCAGCACTATGTATATAATATTTAAATCAGGCTGGCTGGCCATGTAGCAGGTGTGCGGCGTATCCCTCACTGCGATCTTAGCCTGTTCAGAGGCTGTAAAGTCGGGGCTGACGACGGTAATTCCTCATAAACGTATCTGCCTTGAAGCCTCTCGCGTAATAACATCTCTCTTGCTCATGCTGCAAAACAAAACAAATGCATGGGTAGGGATGATTCTTCAATCTTCCAAAGAGCACAATTGCGCGGGAACCATGACGGAACGGTGCGAGCAAATCTGCCTTTCTCGATCCTCGGCAGCCTTGACTCTCGTTCAAGGGATCAGAAGGCTGCGCGGAAGGTGGTGTGGACGCAGCACACCATTCATGACCTACCCTCTCACCTGACCCCTCACCGAGAAATCTGCAAGGCATTGCAGGTCAACCAAGGTGTGGCAGTCGGTCGTTGGAGACTTTTCCTTGAGTGCTTCAATGTGCACCTGCGCGGGTGTTAAAATTCTGATCCCGTTCGTCATCACCGAATCGCGATTAGAACCGTGCTTCCTCCTGAGTTGACTCATAATAATGCCTCTTCTTCAAGCAGAATACATCGCAAGTGCTCTTGTCCTTCGTTAGCCAAATCGGGATTCCACTCCGGTAGGGTCGAGCAAAAAGACCGGGCGGCTTCGCACTTATACCCATGCTGTGAGGCTTCCCAACAGATTGTGGATGGCCACGTGAATTGCCTGCAGGTTTCAGCGCCGTGTCTCGGCGTCGCAAATCGCTAGGCAGACAGACCGAGAGGATGTGAATGTCTGGACATCAGTTGTCTGTATCCGATGGTCCATCGATCTTTTTACTCGCGATTAGATCCTATATCCTGTACGGAGAAAGCGAGGAAAAAATGGGGGAAGGCTCAAATAATAATTCTATCTCATTAAAAGCTATTCATTGCCATAAACAAGTGGTATCCTCCAAAACGCATGCGCCAAGGTGGCAGCAGAGAAAGCATGCTGGCATAAGGCTGTGTGTAGCTTGAGGGGGGTGGCCAATCAGCAGAACACTACTGCACGACTGCGGCGAAGTATGCCTCGTCACGAGGCTCAATGTGTAAGGCAACCGGGGATGAAACCCTCTCAACATAACACCGCCTCGCTTTTAAAATAGGGCGGAAGATGACGGGCGTCTGTCGAAATCTGGGGCTGACGGGGTGTGCGTGGGGGAGCGACGAGAAGAAAGATGGTGGCCATCGAATCCCTTAAGCCTTCTTTTCCTCGACAGGAGGCGTCTTGGTCGCAGGGATGGCGGCGCCCGAGGAAGGACCGTCAACCGGACTCAAGATTTCTGGGCTGGCGGTAGGATCGGCCCCAGTGACCCCGGCCTCCTGGCCTTGGTGAGCGCCAGCTTGAGTGTTGACTGTGGGAGATACTGCTGCGAACTTCTCGTCAGAGGCCATGGCCGGCGAGGTGGGGACCGAGTCCGGAGCAGCAGGGCCAGTAGCTCCCGCCACATTCTTGATAATCTCAAACCACTTCTCGGCATCCGCAGGGGTGTGCGCCTTAAAGGCCAGTTCCGCACTGCCTGTGAGCTTGGCACTCATTGAGCCGCTCTTGTCCTTGCCCTTAACGTTGAACTTGTCACCGTTGGGTTGACCAATCACAGCGTCCGGGAGGTAGATGGATAGATCTGGCTTGGGGTCCGCGCGAGTGTTGTCAGAGTCCTTGAACTCATGCAAGAACTTGGCGGGGGTTACGACGTAGTAGCCAGTAGAGTAACCCCAAGACAACTTGTTACGCGACTTGCGCTCGAGAGAACCCTCGATGAGGGGCTTGACACCGGAGTGGTCCATGTTGGGGAACGTGACAGACTCGACGGATCGCGGAGCATCGTTGGGGTTGACCAGACGCTCGCCGCTGCGGGTGACGAAACCCTTCCACTCCAGATCGGGAGGAACTCGCTGGACCGCGCCAAGCATGTCAGAGTACAACGCACGAGTCTTCTCGGCCTGGCCTCCAGTCAATTGCACAAAGGCCTCCATGCTCTGCTGAATAACCTCGATAACGTGAGCCTCGAAGGCCTCGAAGTTGTTCTGGACAGCAATCAGGTCGTTGCGGTTGTTATTCTCCTCCAAAACTTGCTTGTGGAGTCTGTGCAAGACACCCCGGTGGACGACGTAGGGGTCATCTGAACCGTGCATCTTGCCGCCGGCCGACTCGAAAGCAGCGGTTTGTTGGCCAAGGAGCTCAATGTGCTTCTGGGTGGTGTTGCGAGCCTTCTCGACCTCCTTGGCACTCTTCTGGGCACCGTGAGCGAGCTCCTTGCCCTTGTGCTTAATCTCCTTGTGGAGACGCTCAAGAACCGGCAGAACAGATCCCTTGATGCTCTTTTCGGTCTCGAGGTTGGTGTTGATTATAGCCTGAGTGTTGGAGCGCATGTTCTCGAAGTAGCCCGCAATGCCGCCTAGGCTTTGATCAAAGTGGTGGCCCTCCTTCAAGGGATGGGAGATGACCTTAAGCGCTCTCTCATACTCCTTCGACTGGGCCTTGTGGATCTTTTCGACGGCCTCCATGTAGTCCTCTAGGTATCCGACGGCATGCTTCCAAGCCTGGAGTCGCTCGGCGAGGAGGCCAGCGGTCTGCGCGCAGGGTGTTAGCTCGTGTTGAATGACAACATCAAAAAGTGAAATCGACAAGGCGGGTGTAGATTTCGACTGGTTTCCAATAGCAGGACAATTCAACTTACGCTGGTAGGATCGACTTCAGGGACCGCATCGTCGGTGGTCGAGGTGGTCTTCACGGTCGCCGACCTCGTCGGCAGCGCCTTGGTGTCCGCCATGGTTTCGATGTGCAATTGTGAACAGGAATGCGTGGGGTATTCGAGCTGTCAGGTTCGACAGATGGGTATCGCAGTGTAAACAGGATCGCTCAAATGCTCCTGGCAAAAGGATTGGCAAGGGAAGAGTGCAGCAAGCAGGGCGAACGAGGTTATATCGCAAAAAAGGGCGGCAGTAGTGCAGTGTAGCTGTCCAGACCGTCGTCCCTTGCCCCCCCTTCACTTTCCCCTTCCCCGCCAGTGACAGCTGGTAATTAAACCGCCCAAGCTCCTGCACGAACACACTCGAATGACGTTCTCCACCGCCGCCGACAACTTTTTTGGCCCTAGCGCCAGTCCCTCAGCTTGCACGTCCCCCAAAAGTGGAGTTGTCTGGACCCCCTGTGACGATCACCACTCTCTCAGGGAACACAAATCCAAGCTTTCTCATTTTGCTGTGCTGGTGCTGGTCCTGCTGAGTGCCGGCGCAGCTGAAAGTGACCCCCAACTCGGACGGGCAACATCTGTCGCTCTTGCCTGGGCTGAGAAACCTCCAGCTGTCCAGGGCCTTTCTTTTGCGCTGGCACCATCAGGTGTTCCCCATTGCGACACGCTAGAGTGAAGCCAAGCGGTGATTCCGAGTAGTTATGACGTCAACACAAAGTGAATAGTCCCCTACTTCCCATCACACGAAATGCGCTAGTTGAGATTAGACGATCCTCCCCTATCAGTCCTCCCATCAGAGATGATAGCGCAGCCGCCGTGGGACACGTGTAACTAATAACAACGTTGTTAAATCGAAGCCATGGTAATGTCGCACTTGCCGGGGTACCCTTCGTTGGATGAACAAGCTTTTCCATCTTCCAGAGGCGCGGCATTGAGATGACGGCCGACACCATTCGGGAGCAGGGTTGCAGCCTGGACATCCATCCGGAGGCATTGGACGGAAGTCGACGGGCGGCGATACGAACCGATTGGTCTTATGTCATGGTCTGGACCCTGATGACAGAATTTTGTAGAGTTGGGAGGGACTGATCAAGAATCTTCGGATGATGGTGTTGGGTCTAAAAGCACAGCCCAAAGACTCTCCTGATGTGTAGCCAATCAGGGGGTGGGGGTGTCGGGACGCCATTTAGGAGCCAGTGAGGCCTCCACACGAAGGGATGTCTTCGTCCATGCATGTCTTTAACTCTCTGTCTATATCTTCGTGACAGCGTGGCCTGCGGATGATGAAGGACGACAGCAGTAGACATACCAATAGAACCTACGACGATGACAACGATAACGATGACGTCGAAGATGGCGAGCATAGATGAAAAGTAGTCGCTCTATCATATAACAATAAGGGGTCCGTTTTCTACTTTTATCGTCTTCTTAAGCCTCGAGTATCTATAAGAAATACAATCCCATACACGCAGGGGAAACAGGCGACATCTTACCAAGATATCGCACACCAGCTGAAGCTTACGGTAATACCTGCGGTAATCACCACCAAAAGGTGTCCGATTGGTAAAACCGATCAAACCACCCCATCGCAAATCTAGATCCTGCATACGCCATATCGATCACTCCTCCCAAACGTAGCCAACGTCACCAATAGTTTCGGCACCGCAAACCTCAAATGACACCCAGCCCGACTCATGGGCGCCGTAACCAGGAAAACGATAACACCATGGACCGCCCATCTCTTGCCGCGCAAATCAAATGAGCGCTTGCTGGACGGGCTCGAGAGTATTTAGCCCGCTAGCAGTATGCGCGCGTGCGTCTTGCCCCGCGATCCAAACGGTCTGGAAGCTCGCATGGCCGCTGCAGTCAAATCCGACATCGGCCGGTGGCCCCCGGCGAAGTGGACCCTCTCGCCGTGCCGCATCCTCGGTACTCTAGCGGGGCCCCCTCCCATTCCGAGCTGGCGTGGCCCGAGGGTCTAGTCTCTCGGTGTTGCGACGACCCGGGTGCGCAAATGACTCATTCCTCCAATGATGGCAGATCCACAGAACCGGTTTTGAATGATTTGTGTTCACATGTAAAGGAGGAGCCTCGTACGCTCACGCCACCTCAGAGACGTTTTGTGCAGCACGCTGCCACATGCGTTACACAAGTTGGATGCATTCACTTATAGATGTTTGAGAATAGGGGTTTTCTTTTGGTAATTCGCATTCAACGTGCCGCGATCTAAGCGGTGGGTATATCTTACAACCGTTTGAATGTCTTCCCTATACCGTCCCATTGGTCCCCATATGCCCATTATCGCAATCCGTGTACGTGTGTTAAGCAGCCGCAGAGTCCTGGTGCCTCAAGGCGCATATCTAAAGCCTGTAAATATCAAAGTACCGCCTCACTCAGGTCCGGTTTCCTCCAACGCCAATGCCATGCCGTAAAGTAGTGTCTTCCACCCTCTATAAAGTATAATGAAATCAAAGAAGCAAGGTTGCACATCTTAATGCGTTGCGTTCTGAAGACTCAGTACACACGCTCACGTCCTTGGAGGAGGTGGAGCCTGCGGTCATCGCCACCCTGGACTGCGTGCAGCAGGGAGGTCATGCTCGCGGGTCGATGCCACGAGCGGTGCGAGCCACCTGGTGTAGTGGGCTCGCTGCCGGTGCCACCCTCATGCTCGGGAATCATGCTGAGCGGGTCCGCAACGGGGGCCTCACTCGCAGGGGGCGTGTTCGGGGCGCTCATGGCAGAGAAGTAGTCGGGGAGGGCATCGGTAGTGCCTCTGCGAGCAGGTGTCTTGATGGCGGTGGTGTAGCTAGGCACCTTGCTCAAAGTAGCCATGTCGGGGAAGTCGAGGTGCTCAGGGGAGTTGCGGCCTGACGGGCCTGATGAGTGAGAGTTGGAGTGCTCCTCGTTGCTGTTCTGACGAGTAAGTGCCGCAGAATGCGATTGCGAACTCTGGCCAGTGGGGTTGGACGTCGGGAAGGCGACATCCTCGGTGATGGCGTTCAAAGAGTTGAAAGACGTATTGCGTTGCGAGGGGTCGAGAGACACGTTGTGGAGACGTTGTGAGAGTGCTGCGGGGGCGACACCATGGCTATGGCTGTTGGACATGGCAAGACCTGCCAGGTTCTCGGAGGAACCAGCGCGAGACTGTGCGTAGAAGGGACTGCTGAAGCCAGACTGGAGAGCGGGGGTCTGGAAGCCGCTCATGTCGACGTCTTCGTACAACTGATCGAGAACGTGTTCTCCGTATCCAGGGGGAGCGATTCGGGTGACTGCGGCTTCGGCGGCGGCTGGTGTCGTGCCGGGATTCTGATCGACGAGGACTCCATGCTCATCGAGGGGCATGTTGGGAGAGATGAAGATGGAAACGGGGAGAGTGGCTCGCAGCTGGCGCCTGTTAGCTTCTGTCTGCACCTTTGTTGTGGGTGACAGCAACATACCTCTGAAATGTGACCGTCGGGGTTCTTCAGGGCAACCACAAGCTTGAGCTTGTGTCGCACCTTGATTCCGTTATGGTTGAGGTCCTGAACACACTGTCGCAGTCTCTTGGGGAGGTTCAACTTCTTCTCCACCATCCAGCCCTCCTGACCAGTATCTTCGATAGTGTCGTGCCAGTGCTCTTCCCTGTCGACCTCAAACTTCCAGTTGGAAACCTCTCTTTCTGTCCTGTGCTCCTTGAAAATGTTGCCGGTAGGTCCTTGCAGTGTGCACTCGCGGATCTCAAGCATCTTGACTGAGATCTCACCCATCTCCAGACCCTTCAACAGCGGGGTGAAGCGCATCTGGAGAGGGACGGAGGCGCCGAAGACGACGGCCTTTTGGGGGATGACGATGGAGTAGTCGACCTTGTTCGGCCAGATGTTTTCGACGCTCATGGCATGGAGGAACTCGAGGGCGGCGGGTTCGAGGGTGCGGATAATGCGCAGAGCCTTGTAGGCGTGCAGATCGTAGGCAAGCTTGCCGCGGGCGACGGTAGCCTTGAGCTTGTAGGTGATACTCGCTTCGGGGATTCCTTCGACGCTCTCGGCCGTGTTACCGGGCAGTGTGAATTCGAACGGCCACTCATAGTTGCCGGCCGGCAACATGGTGTTCTTGCCACCAGCTCCGCCGACGAACGGAGCCCAGCGGTGTTGGAGCAGGGTAGTGGTCTTGTCGACTTTTTGGCTCGAAACGCCAGAAGCGGCGCTCTTGGAGTAATCCCACCTATTGAAGGGGGGGCAGGTCAGCTGGCCGATCTGCAAAAAAGTCGAACCGGGAATAAGGGGCACTCATACGATAATCGGAGGGTGCCGGTGAGTCGGAGGTGAACATCTTCGATCTTGAGCGGAGTGGGCAGACACAGTACTACTACGCCCTTGAGAATCTGGCCCGCAGACTCGTCTTCTCCGCCGCGAAAGACAATGAAGTCATTGTCTAGTCTGTGGAATGGCCAGCGTTAGTCAACGGCGCTCACTTAGAGAGTAAAGAGGGTTCTCGAAGCAGAGACGGGGAAAATTGTCCTGGAATTGGAGAGACGTGGGGCAGAAAAGCGCGTACCTGATCTCAAAGAGGGAAGCGGCATGCTTGCCCGTGACGGTCGAGAATGGGTTGAATGACGGCATCTTCAGATGACATGAACCAAGCAGTATGCCTGGCAAGAGGAAAACGGCCTAAACATCGAGGAAGGGGAGGTCTGGAGGCGGGCTTGTATTTATTGACCGGGAGCCTTTCAGGGTACGAAGATACCATGGGTACATTCGTCAGATCAAAGGTGGGCTTGGTCGCAGGCAAAGCGCAAGCACAAGCACGATTAGCAACCGCAAGCTGGGATGGCAGCGAAAAAAATGCGCCGGAGCCTTCATCTCACAAACGGGCAGCCCACCATGGAGGGGTGGACAACCACAACCTGACGACGTGGGCGTGGGCATGGGCGTGGGATGGCGAAAGGAGGGCGTGGACGTGGGTATCGATGGTGGGGCAGAGGCAGGTCGGGAAGAGATCCATTACCCTTGACGGGAGAGCGAGAGAAGGTCCACGTCCAGTGTTGGAGGGACTGTTCCTTGTTCAGGGACCCTAGAAGGCCGAACCTTGAACGGAGTTGGATAAGGAGGGAAGAATGGGACGAGGCCTGGGCCTGGCATCTGCGCTTGCCTGCGCCTGGTACGGCGAAAGTGAGGACGATGAGGGTCAGCGGCAGACACCGAACAAGGAGGACGGCCCAAAACGGAGCCGGGGGGGCATGGCGAGCAAAGAAACGACAGGAAGTGCAGGGCTGGGTCGACGCGGCGGCATGTTAGTTGACGGATACGCATTACGGGATAAATCAGTACGTATCGTGCGATGCGTGGCAGACGGAGCGAGATAGGGAACGAAGAAAAGGTACGGGTGGTACGTGCGTCACTAATTTTTCTGTCTTTCTTTCCCTCCCCCTGGCAGGCAGAGATTGTGGCTTGCGGGAGAGAATCCCGAGTCGTTACCGACTGGTTTACAGCCCCCAACCACCAGCACAGTACACAGTCAGCAGCTAGCAATAGCCACAACGGATGGGATCCATTACGAGCCTTGAAGGAGTCGAGAAGTGAGCGTGGTTGGCATGCGTGTGCGTGAGAGAGGCGCGCCATCTGCCCTGCCCTGGACCGTCTATCATGGATGACAGTGGGTTTGGCGGCGAACATGCCCTGTATTCTGTGTATTCTGCACTCCGTATCGCCGAGGGACGGAAGGGAAGTGGGATGGATTTTCAGAGCTCCTTTGCCTCAGTCCTCCGAAAGAGGGAGGGATAGGTAGAGGCGGGCAATGACGATGCCGCCAGCAGGGGTGTGTGGGATGAATCATGGTCAGTCTCTCGGTCAAACAACCTCCTTTTTCCAGGTATTCGCAATGAGTGTGAGTTTGCATGCACACTGCTTGGCCTCTTGACTGGGTCTTGTGGTTGGCTGTGCGGCTACTGCTGGTGCTGAGTCTGAGTCTAAGTGTAAGCCTGAGTTTGGGTCTCTGTCGTGTCTGACTCTTGTCACAATCGATATCACCACCATCACCACCGCCATCACTAGAGGTCCGACGAGGCGCGGCATCTCTCCGTCCCTCCCTCCATCCGCGTCGGAGACGGTGCGAATGGTGCTGATGGTGCTTAGGGCTGGTGTGGGCTAAAGAAAGCCCGCAGCCACGACGTGCTCTACCTGAGGGGTGGGCTGCCTTAGCTGTCCGGCTTGGCGGCTCCCTTTGACGATACGCCATGTAATGCAAAATACCTGCTTTCGTAATTGCGTCCGATAGGTCGGTCGTATCTACGATTATCGTGACCACGGATTATCGTCAGATTGGTAAATTTCTGCCTCATTTGGGTGGTGGACGGCAACTCGTCAAATTCCCATTGCTCATGTGGTTACGATGCATCGGCGAAAACAAGAAAATTACCTAAAATGCGACAACCCATGCGTAAGAGAGACAGACAGGGGAAAGAGAGTGACGATGAAGGAAAAAAGCAACTGGAATCGGAACACATGGTTCGAGCGCCTGCAACCGCTCTGCCCTGAGTCTGTCGTCTGGCCTGATTGGAGGTTTTCGGCAACTGCGCCCGGCTGCGATCCTGCGCGGGCGCCTCTTTCCAGCGGCAACCTAACGACTGGGCTGGACTGCAAAGCTGCAAAGCACACGGTGAGAAGTGATTGTGCGCTCTCTTGCTCTCTCTCGCGAACTGCGATGGATGGCTGCATTTGCGAGATTCCGCGGTGACTTCGTCATTGCTGCAACATAACCTGGCTATTGGAAAGCAGAGCAAGAGTCAGTATCAACAGCCGAGCTTCAACCTGAAAGACACACACAAAAGAGACGGTCTTGCCGCCTCCCGCCGTTCATCTGACGGATCACGGATGAGGCGACGGATGGCCGAGGGCTGCCACTCACTGCCACCAGCCATCGCCACTGATTGGCCCCTGCATGAATCGTGCCATGGAAATGGAAGCCAGATGGAAGCTGTGGAGCTGCGCTGCACCGTGTGCTTCCATCGTCTTGGCACCCATCTTTCCTTGCGCGCTTGCTTGGCTTGACCTCCCTCCCGTTCAGAGTTCTGCCTTCCTCCAACTGCCTGGCGGCGCCAAGCTGATTGTCCGCCACAATGCTGTCGCCTCCCGCCTGCCCGCTGCAATATGATTCCAGGTAATGACTGCCCGTCTGCTTGACACCAAGACGCCCGTTCTCGAAGCAAGAAGTTGGTTGGGTGGGTCTGCGTGGGATGTTTTCTATTCTGCCTCGCCTGCCTGTCCATGTCCTGTTCCCAATCCAGCAACCCGAGCTTCCTTCCGTACATTACGGATCCGATGTTCGCCCGGCGTCTATTCCTACATCCCGCACGCCGCAGACCGCAGGTAAGGTACGAAGGCAGGCGCAGAGTCCCTTACAGAATCCAGGTCATGCCCTGCGGTGTGCGGTGGTAGTTGTCTCGCTGACCGTCAGACCGTCTCTTGCCGCCCGATCCCTGCCTCGCCCTTGTTGGTTCGGATATCTCATCGCGGGCAGGTAAGGTAGCTAAGACAACGGCCTAATCTAGTCACAAAGCGCCAGCAGACCGCCTCGAAAACGCCATCGTCACCAAATGTGGCTTCGACACCCGCCTCGCCCGTCTTCACGAAACGGAAAGAGCCAAGACTCGACGTCTGGAGGCTTGTTTTCTGTTCAGCTGCCAATCTGCTTTGCCTGCGTTCTGGTCTCGCCATGCCTATTGCCCATCACTCACCACAGCCAACGAAAGTGAGGCCTGTTTGCGCTCTATACGGGCATGATTGGCGGACCCCCACTGTCCATATCGACGATGATGGACAAGTCGAGGCCAAATGGTTCATATTGCCGCTTCCAAGGCGATGCAGCCGGCGGTCATGGGCAGAGTCAATCAGGAGACCGTGGAGGAGGGCGACGCGGGGTTGTCCCTAAGCTCGAATCCGAAGTGGCATTCAGACCATGATCAGCACTTGCTTCTCCATCGCCATGTGCGACATCAAGACCTCCATTTAGCTAGGCAGATTGTTTCCCATCACCGAGCCATCACCGCAACCTCAGCCTGCACCTGATGGCCAGAATCTCACGATATGTTCGGGCGGGAGTGCGGGCGGTATCCCGCGCAGTCCATCACACGGGGAACCCGGCAGCAGAAACACCGTCCCGCGCCTCTACGATTCTGCGCCTCACGACAGCCTTCCGGGGGTCTCGCAACTTGGCTGCCAGATGAACCAGAGAGTCTCACACATTGGGGCATGACCCCTCCGTATTGGCATCTGCAGGCTGGCGGGAAATCGATGCAGGTCAATTTATCCAGCACCTCTGGCAGGCCCGTTTTCGCGGTTCAGTATGCCGCATGCAGCATTCTCAGCAGACAAAGGTCCTTCCAGACCTTCCAGCCCGTACGCCGAGCCGGTCTCCTGGTCTGGGCATCTCGTTCTGGAGCAGGGATCCAATCCACTGCGTTGAGTGCTCTGTCACCCCCTGGTCGGGACCCAGTCTGCTTGGGAGATCGTCACCAGGAGACACGGAAGGCAGTTTGGCAGCTGGCCCGAGCCCTGCGATGGGAATTTCTCCTGGATTGAGGGTTCGGTGGAATCCCCACCGATAAGCACCAGCCTGTGCTGCCTGCAAACCGGGATCCCGTCGTTTCTCGTTCCAGTTCTTAGCGAAGGGGCCTTTTGCTCCTGGATCGCGAGCCAAGGGCCCAAGGGGGCCTGTCTTGCCATCCCGTCAAGTTCCGGTCGTCAATTTGGATTCACGATGCCGCGGTAGCAGCGCCTTGCGTCTTCGACTGCCACTTCAGCATGCATGACGAAGCATATGAAGCGGAAACAGGAATCAATTCATCACCATACGATATTGCGGCAAGTACCGTTCACACTGCGACTCTTCTCCAGTTTCGAGGGCTTTCAGAACCCTCCCAGTAGAAGGAATCAAGACCGACAGAAGCGAAAATCGAACGGGCCGTTCACCGACTCGCTGTGGATTCTTCGCTGAAATTCAAGCGATGGCGCCTTCAACCCTGCTTGGGTTTTTTTTTTTTCTCCGAGTGTGTGAGACTTTTTTTTTCACGCGTCCACGCCGACGGTGGCTGGCAGCCAATAGGCACCGCACTAGGAGGAATGGCTCCAAGATAACGGCAAAATTACACTAAAACGCAAAACCACCGTGCAGCGGTCCGAATCCGCACCGAGTCCGGACGTACGCCGAGCGATTTTCTTTCAAGATACGGACATGAGTCTCGGTCTATGGCGGTCATTCGCCGTGATCCTCCGGCCATGTTGGTCCTAGTCAGACAGTGCTTGGAATGGAATGCCTGGGCACACCCTCACCGAAATGCTAGTCGAGATTGTATCACGGCGAACCTCAATCTCATACTCGACCGGCGCCATGCTAACTCAACTGGCTGCAGCTACCCGTCGCCACAGTCAAGCTTTCTTGGTTCCCGTGAATCCTATCTATCGTCTTGCCTGAAGTTGCGCAACGCTGTGCCGTGTTAGGCTGGCCACGCATACAACGCCCGCTCTTTTGCCTTGGCCTGCAATTACAAGAGACTTTGAATGGTGTCAGCATATCTTTGCTGCATGATGCACTATCTCGAGGCTCAAGATATCCCAGTCCACGGATACAAACCGGCGCAGAGGGCGGGTAGCTAGCAGAAGCGAGCTCAAACTATTACCCACCACCAGCACGAATAGACGTTCGCCTGCAAAGAGCGGTTGGCCCGCTCGGCCAAGTTTCATGGAAACGCGAGACGAGGCCCTTCACTTTTTGCAAGGAACCAAGGCCCAACACCCAAAGAAAGTCCAGGGTCACGATGGCAGAATCGAGGTTCCAACAGCACGCGGTGTGATTAGCGCAATTTTCAGGTTGCTCTGAGCAAACATGGCGTCCCAACGGCCCAGCTCGCCGACTGCCGCAGATGGCATCCGCAGCCACGGGTCTCCACTACACCACCACCCTGGGCGTGTGCAAAGATAGCATCATGCCTGCTCCTGATGTCAGATCAGTCGGGACCCACTGATATCAACATGACATCTCTTGCGCAGGTCGCAGTCTCTTTGGCCCTTACCTCAGCGTGCAGCGCATGTGTTTTCTCCGTCGTCTCGTCTGGGCTGTTCCGGCCTCGCCTCAGCGCACATCATGGCCTGAGCATCGTTCACTGCTCATGTTCGCCTGCGTGCGTAATCGACTGAGGTCCGTCGGAACCCAGCGGGCGGGTCGTCCGGAAATCTTGCACCGCACCGTTTTAATTTGACCGTCCAAAAAGTGCGGCAGGCCTATTGGAAGCTGGTGCAGAGCGTGCGTCTCCCTGTCGCCATACACGGCGACGAGCTCGCAAAGGTCCGAATACCCAAACAGGCCCATCGTTTCAACCATCTTGAGCCTCGATGGCCCATCTCGGGCACCAAGCTGACTCACGAAGCTTAGCCCCATCTGAAATCTCGCCAACTACCGCTTCCCATCCCCACCGCGCGCCGAAATCTCTCACCATCGGCCCTTTGCAGCGGTGAAAAACCAAGGGGGCGCGTCTCACTGATTACAAGCATCGAGACGTGAACCTTGATACCCGCCGGCCGCACTATGCAGGAGACCGCAATCTGACCTCTCATGAGCTCACCTTGAGCCACGGTGTGGGACCAGTCTTCAGCCTTGCCTCCTGGCTCGGTTTTCCGACCTCTCATGTCTTTTAAACTGTTGTTGGACCTGCACACAAACCGCTCAAAGTGGATCGGCTTCCCGTTATCTACGTCTACGCCTACGCCTCCGATTACGCCTTGCCACTAAGAGAGGGGCTCACCACCACAACCCAACCAGAGAGAAAAATTCAAAAATGTCCCTCGCACGCACGTGGATCTCCCGGTACGCCTGCATACGGATACATTTCAAGACGCCAGGGCAGCCTCTTGCGCGATGCGACTGCATAATACACGCACTGCGGCTGCACCACTGAAAAGTCTCCATCAACGACATCCAACAAACCTATCATCAGTCTGCCCTTTCAGCCTCAAGCTTATGTCGCCGCCGTATCAGGGTTCAGCATCAACAGCATGTGAAAAAGGTATCCGCTCAAGCTTTGCAAAGTTTCACAAGATTTGAGTGGTTTTCCACTGGTACCCCCTTGGTGGTTACTGCGACACCCTTTTCTCTATTCCTCGTCGCATATCATAACGTGGTGGAGAATCGGGAATTACCTTTCCTTGCTTCGAGACCAACACGCACCCAATCGAATCCCCGAGGAACGGGCATAGCCCATTCGATATTCGCATTCGACATGTTCCAGAATTCTGGACGTTGCCTATCTCTATCCGACCAGGGGCAGGCGGCACCTTAAGAACGTTTAACCACGCGAACCGTTCGACTTTCCTTCCGACTTCTTTTCGTGCGTGGACCAGGACGTCTCACCGGCCGGTCTTCCGCGTGCGATACCACCCGGCAACCGCATCTTAGTGCATCCGGGCCCTGTGTCTCTCTTCACTCAAACCACATGTGAGGCGACACGGGTGCACGAGAGCAGCAGCGGCGGCGGCGGTTGGTGGAACCCCCACGCCCGCTTGGTGGCAGGCAGGCAGGCAGAGACTAAGAGCCAGAGCTCCCTCCCAGGGGTGACCCAAGAGACCAAGGGACCGCGGGCCCAGCCAGCCATGTCGAGCCCACCACGGAGCCGCATCTCGATTGTGCAGCAGATGCAGACTTTTGTCTCAAAGGGTCCTGCGGTGGAAGCTCTGACATCTTGATCCTCATTCACATGCACAGCAAACGTCATGATCATCCCGTCCTCGTGGGCGACGCGTACATCACCATTTCGAACCGCCAACACTGCCACCTGCCACTTGAACAGCTTCCTGCGTGCATGATTATTTTGGTACCGACCCTGAAGTGTGAAGCGTAATTGCTCGTCGCATTTTTCGAGCTACTGCTAGCGCAATTGCTATTCATACGCCCGAGCTCTAGTATATCTGCATCGAAACAAAATATAAAACCAACGCCATCTAAGATGCTCCCTCCTTCGGCACCGGAGCATCTGTCGGCCTGTTCCACGTCCGGATGTGGCCTGTTTTTGCACCCATGTCAGCACGGCGGCTTTTTTTATTTTCCTGATGCTGTCGGCGTGAGGTCAAACTTACCTGACTTGCAGCTGGTGATGATGGCCTCTTCTGTGAACTCAAGCCAGCATAGAGGGTGGGTATCAAGTGCTTTGGACTGCGAGCAGGTCAGCAAACAGAAAGCTTCAAGACGAGCAGCTGCAACGTAAAGAGGAAAACGTAAACGTACGGATACGGGCGGAAGCATGGCAATGCGCGCACGCGGCTCTACGGGATGCACGACGCTGCTCTCTTCGTCGTCGACGGCGCCGCCCGATAGGGTTGAGTTGGACCGGATGCGGCTCGCTGATGTGTTCGCTGTTTCCTGCCTCTGCAAGGGATTGGCGAAGCGTGAGGACACGGAACCCCGGTGGTGAACGGAAGCCTATTTCTGTTCGTCAGCTTTCCCGCGTCTCTTTGGAATGCGTGTTTGGGTCAAGAGTAACGTACCGCTTTGGGTCTGTGAAGCATGCCGACGTTGAAATCCCAGAGACACAATCTGCAATCTTCGCCGACACTGCCGAAGCGGTAGTTTCTATCGTCGCAGCGCCACGGGTCGAACGCTACGGACGTCACCCAAGACTGATGGCCTTGACAGCGTGCCACAATGGCCGATTCCTCAACAGACCAGATGGAGATAAGGTCGTCTTGGCCGCCCGTGAGCACGTACTTGCCGTCCGGAGACCAGCAGACGCTGATAAAGCCACCGTAGTAAGAATGATAGAGATCCAGCAACCTATTATCACATGTCAGCGAAATCGTCCCGCAGAACCCTGAGGGTAAGAGTGATGAACATACTCCTCCTTCAAGTAGTCAATGATGCGGAGAGAGCCGTCCTCCGATACCACGGCCAGATGTCGGTTGTCGGGGCTGAAAGCGAAGGCATTGATTCGCTGGTTAGATAGCTTCCATGATGCTACCGGGTTCGTCTTTTGATTCTTGGATTGAATCGACTTGTTGATTTGGATCTTGAGGTTGTGGTTGACGTTATTTGTCGCCTCGCCCTCCCCATTGGGCGTGCCGCTGGCCGCGAGCTCTTCCTCTGGCGAGAACTGGGCGTCCTCCTTGTCCTTGTCGTACACCACCAATGAACCGTCCATGTGCGCCGCCAGAAAGAGACTCTCGGATCCAGGAATCCATCTGATTTCCGATACTGGCGTGCCATTGATGATGCCCTGATAGAGTCAGTTGCCTGAATGCAACCACCAGAGACCTGGAGACTTACGTTCTTGTTCAAACGGGTGTACCGTTGTGATACTGGCTCCCACCAGATGATTTCGCCAGTGGAGAATCCCATAATGACGTCGATATGCGATATGCTCTTCGTGATCGTGTTGACGTCGTGGCAGAGGCAGTGAGCCTTGGTGAACAGAATCTTAGTCAAGTAGTCCGCCTGCCGCAGGTCAGTGTAGGCTCTTCGCTGGAACTGCTTGGCGCAAACCATACCTTTGACGCTGACGACAAATCTAGCCATTGGAAAGCACGGTTAATGTTGGCAAAAGCAAAGACTCCGTCCGTCGGCCGCTCTTGAAGCTTCTTGGCAAGGCTCTCGTTTACAATTACTCTAGAGATGAACGACGAGTTGCTCTTAGTCATATTGTTCTTGGGCTTTGGCACCTTCTTCTTCGCAGCGTCCTTCATGTTGGCTGGCGCGAGCGCCGTGTTGCCGTCGCCAAACGCCGGCGCCGCGGCAATCATTGTCATGGAGTTGGGTTGCGCATCGCTCAACGAGGTCCCGCCACCACCGTCGCTGCTGAGCCCGGCCTCAGTCGAGTACCGGTCCTCGTTGGGGTGTTCCTTGATATCGCCGGTGAGGGACAGCGTCGTGGCCGACGACCCCTTGTAGAAGAAGGGCGGTGCGGCGCGCATGTCCAAGCTTATGAGGGAAAGCTTCGTGCCGGCGGTCGCTGGCTGTGGGTTCGTCGCAAGCGGGTTCGGGTTCACGACGGGAGCTTCGGAAGGATGGGGCGGGGGCGTCGCGAGGTGAAGGTCCTCCTTGAGAACGTAAGTTCCCTCTCCGACCAGGAATTGGTACTCCGGGCCTTCGGGGTTGGACAGGATGTTGTTCGTCTCGATCATGGGAGCGATGCCTGGGCCGAGAGTGCCATAGGCACCCGAATGCGATGGGTATCGCGGGGGAGGGGGCAGGACGCTGTTGTTCATGGTCGCACGAGGGCAGACAGTCAGCCGGGGTTCTTATGAGCTTGAAATGTGTTGTAAGAGTGCCTGGCAGTGGGCATGTAGTGCTGCAATGCTGTGCAATGGATGGCCGTCGAGGTTACACGAAGCGTGTATCCGATGGACGCAGAGTACGATGGGGTTACGTCGGGTACTTACAACATGATGGGCGATTAGGTTTCCTACGATCTATGGGAATGCAGTTACGAATTGGACGGGAAGGAAGGAAGCACGCGACAGTCGCAGCAGAATTGAGGTGATTACAGGTCGGGGTTCGGGAAGGTGGTTCGTCGTCGGCTCCGCCTCACGTCACTGGCGGCAGCTGCAGTGGAGGTTCTGGGAGGTTTTGGGTGCGGCACCGGGGCGGTGGAGGCTGATAACGAGGACGGACGCTTCGGGAAGGTCGCACAGAGGATGCTGCGCAGTATGCGACAGGAAGTGAGGCTTCGCGGAAAGTTCGTTGATCGGATGGCAGCGAGGTCGGAGCGGAAGGATTGGCGAAGAGGAGGAGGAAGTGGTGGTGCGCTGCGCCAACGACCAGACGAACTCTAGAGGTTCTTGGACAGAGCTGACGACCTCATGCAAGGTAGGCGAGGGCGGGAGTCTTTAATACGGCGCGGGCGAGGTTGGGGGGAGGGGGTTCAAGGCAAGGAACAAGAGCCTTCCTTGGGTTCGGTTCGGTTGGTTGGTTGGAGCTGGAGTTGGAGCTGGAGCTGGAGCTGGAACTGGAACTGGAACCGGAGGTGTCGAAGTGGAAAAGGGCAGGGCAGGACGGGATAATCAACCCCAACCCAGCGACGTGCTGGTGGTGGTTCCCTTCTTTTCTGTTCTGGTTCGTGTCCCCGCCTTCCATGGCCCCGGGGGCGCTACCTACTGCAGGTAAGGTAGGCAGGCCCTGGGGATCACTGGTCAGCCATGTCGGTATTGCGTGTGTGTCCTCCAGGATAAGCCGTCCAAGTTGGCTGCAGCTGCTTCATTGCCCATGGGCCCCGTGAGGGCAGGTCAAGGTCAGCCTGGGGTCCGGAGAAGGATTGCTGCGACGTGAGTGGTGGGCGACTGCTCCATTTTGGCGGGGGTGGCAGCACCTCTGGAGTGACGCTGCAGAGCCCAGGCGAGTCGTCCCTGACGCCCGGGTTTAATTGAAAAGTCCACGTTCCAATGGCCGGCCTGCTGTCAATCCGACTCGGTGACTGGCCGCGCAAAAGTGTGGGGTAGGTAGGTAGCAAAAAGCTGGAGAAGCAGCTGTGAGGCCATTGACAGTCGCTTTCCCGAGTCTGAGCGACACTGGACAGGGCACAGGACGCATGAGGTGGGGAGGAGTTGGCAGTTCCATTGGCGCAGTCAATAGAACGGACTGTTGGGTCGGTCGTCATCAAAACACACATCTTTGGAGCCGGTCTGCTGCACCACCTCATCTGTCTTGGGACGTGTTACCGAGATTTGCTACCAAGTTGTTGTTGAGTGACCTTGGCCACTTAGGATTATGGTAATAGACATTACGAGGAACGGGATATGCTGCACATGTATGTTCAACTGAGACACATCGGACATAAGGCGGAGTTGAGCAGATGATTTGGATAGGTATCAGACATTACTGAGGTTATATGCGGATCAACAATGCGTGGTGCACTTATTATTACGGATACTCGAAGTTAGGTTCATAATACACGATGATGTGTTATGTGTTTACATAAGTTCAGCTTAACCGCTGCAAAGGTATCTCCGTCAAAACCTCCTTCACTTCTCCCAAGTACAAGCAGTTCAGGACTTCTGTCCACCCAAATTCTTCAGCAAAGAGCACCAATCATAATACCAACCAAGAAGCACACATTCCACGGTCATGCATAATAAGACATTGCTGTCGGGTCGTGCTACACTCAGCCCGCTGGATTGGACATCGGTCGCTTATCAACCTGCACCGCACAGCGCTGATCCGCTGATCGGGTGCTCTCTCGGGCGGGTCTTGCATCCCCGAAGGCGCTGGTGCCGCTACCTTAACCGATCCCTTAAGGTACCAGCAGCACCTTTCCAGCTGTCCCCCACCAGAGTCATCCTTGCAATTAAGGTCGTCATTCGAACTCTACCCCCGTCAACCTGCAGATTCCCGTCCTACCCGCTTCAGAGCTTCCCAGATTACATTCCATTGCTTCACCCGAAGAAAGACACCACCTCACTCCCCACGACCGATCGTACACACGAGCCTCGAGCTTTTGGCATCCATCGCCGTGTGCGCCCGAGTCTCGTCCCTCTTCCGACAGCGTTCCGAGACCGCCTTGCCATGGCATCGCAAAAAAGCTTTCTCTCCGCCTCTGATTAAGCTTCAACTATCACGAATATGGCTTCTGGTAGGTGGCCTGACGAACAGCTCTTCCCGACCTCGACAGTTTGTTTCCGAGCTTGGAACTGACTTGCCTTGCCTCCATCTAGTACGAATCTGCGTTTGCGGTGACGAGGGCACCGGAAAGTCCAGCCTCATCGCCTCGCTGGTCAAGGACGTCTTCATCTCCAACAAGATCCAGGCCGTCCTCCCCTCCATCACCATCCCTCCTCAGCTCGGGACCCCCGAAAACGTTACCACCACCATCGTCGATACCTCCGCCCTGCCTCAGAACCGCACCACGTTAAGAAAAGAAATTCGCAAATGCAACGTCATCCTCCTCGTCTACGCCGATCACTACAGCTACGAGCGTGTTGCTCTCTTCTGGATGCCCTACTTCCGATCCCTCGGCGTCAACGTCCCGGTCGTCCTCTGCGCGAACAAGTCCGACTTGACTGGCGATGGAAATACACCCCAGGTGGTCGAGGGCGAGATGCTGCCCGTCATGGCCGAGTTCCGCGAGATCGATTCGTGCATCAGATCGAGCGCGAGGGAGCACCGGAACGTCAACGAAGTTTTCTTCCTGTGTCAGAAGGCCGTCACCCACCCCATTGCCCCGCTATTCGACTACAAAGAGGGGAACCTCAAGCCCAACTGCGTTGATGCATTGAAGCGGATTTTCTACCTTTGTGACAAGGACCAGGACGGCTTCCTCAATGATCAGGAGATGCACGAGTTCCAGGCCAGGTGCTTCGATAAGCCGTTGACCGCCGAGGATCTCGAGAACATCAAGCTTTCCATCACGAAGACACTGTCGCCTTGGTCGGCAGAGAAGGGCATAGACCAGAGAGGCTTTTTGCAGCTGAACAAGATTTACGCCGAGAAGGGCCGCCACGAGACGATATGGATCATCTTGCGCAAGTTCCGCTACACCGACAGCTTGAGCCTGGAGGACAGCTTCTTGCGCCCCAAGTTTGATGTGCCAGAGTACTCTTCGGCAGAGCTGAGCCCTGCCGGCTACCGCTTCTTCGTGGACCTATTCTTACTGTTCGACAAGGACAACGACGGTGGTTTGAACGACAAGGAGCTGGAAGCCCTCTTTGCACCTACACCCGGACTTCCTGTTTCCTGGGTTGAGACGTCGTTCCCATCTTCAACTGTACGTAACGAGGCAGGGCACGTCACCCTGCAAGGGTGGCTCGCACAGTGGAGCATGACGACGTTCATGGAGCCAAAGACGACGCTTGAGTATCTTGCGTACCTGGGCTTTGAGCCTGCAAACCCACGCGAGACTACTACCGCTGCTCTCAAAGTCACCAAGTCACGCAAGCGCAGAAGACGCCCGGGTAAGGTTGAGCGCAACGTAGTGCTTTGCTACGTCCTCGGTGCCTCTGGGGCGGGCAAGTCGTCGCTCCTAGATGCGTTCCTGAGTCGCCCTTTTGACAGCTTGTATCGGCCCACGATTAAGCCACGACGGGCTGTTAACAGTGTGGAGCTTCCGGGCGGAAAACAGTGCTACATGATACTCGAGGAGCTCGGCGAGCTGGAGCCTGCCATTCTAGAAAACCAGGCCAAGCTTGACGCCTGTGACCTAATTTGCTACGCGTACGACTCGTCGGATCCCGACTCGTTCTCGCACATTGTCGAGCTGCGCAAACGCTACCCGCAGCTTGACGAACTCCCCAACATCTACACCGCCTTGAAGGCGGACAAGGACAAGACGATGCAGCGCAGCGAGATGCAGCCGGACATGTACACGTCGAACCTCATGATGAGCACTCCACTTCACGTCACCGTCAAGTGGAACAACATCAGCGAGCTCTTCATCGCCTTGGCGGACGCGGCAACCAACCCGAGCACCGCTTTCCCGAGGAGCGAGGAGCCGCCTCCGGATAGGACCAGTCTGTACCTCGCGCTGGGCGCTACGGCGTGTGCTGGCATTGCCGCGTTCATGATTTGGCGGCGATCGACGACGTCAGCTTAGAGGGCACGGTTGAGCAGTGCCGTCCACACTTTCAAATTGCGTTTCAGGGAGTTGGCGCGTATTCTGGAGTCTTGATCATTGCCCGTTGGAACACACAATTATGATACCCAACTCCGCCCTACATATAAACAACAGGATCTTAGTCTCTAATCAACCTAATTGTAACATTATCTCCGGCAAGTTTCTCTTGAGGATCCTATTCGTGTAAGATAGTTGTCTGGTGTTGGTAGTAGTATGTATTCGATTCGTTTTGGCAAACCAACGATTGCCCCGATGACGCTGTTGACCTGTTGTTTGCTTACCTTCGCGGTGACAACAGCCCAACAGCCACAAAATTTGGATTATTTCGGTCTGCTTCATCGTCGTTTCCTCGACAGCCTGTCTAGTTCACAGTAGACGTTCCGATACACAGAACTCGTGGCTGTCAAGAGAGGAACAAAAAAAAAAAAGGGTAAAAAAGGTTGCCCGGTGGTTGGCCCGGGCCTGATTCGAACGACCGGGCCCGGCGGCATGTGCCTTTGCTGCCAACCCAGCAAGCAAGGCCTTTCGCCACTACGGCCAGGCCAAGTCGAACGCCCTAGAGGGCAGAGGAGCTGGGCTCCTGATTTTTGTTGCGGATCTGGACGCTGGAGGGGGTTATATAGCACTGTTTCTCTCGTGTCGAGGTTAGGGTGGACGGGGGAT